AATCCTCTTCCGTATGAAACACATGTGTTGGTGCTATATAAATAAATAAACTGAATTGAATTGAATAAAAAATTGCTTCTTCCCCTGCAACAGTGTTTCTACAGCCATGGAGAGAAAGTGCGTTGGTGAGGGCATGTATGACTCTGAGTCTGCCAATGGCAGGGCTGGTGAGATGACAGTGTAGTAAACAATTGTGAGAGTAGAGACTCCAAACAGTCTTCAATCGAGGGGCCCACATTCTACCAAATCAGGCCCTGCCTATACTTCTACAGTACAACTATATAAACTGAAACCTAAGTCAGATAAAATCAGATTCAAAGCAGAAACACATATTGTATTGTACTATTATTGTGAAACACATTCAGGCAACGAGGGTTTAAGAGATTGAGATCCTGTCAGACATTAAATCCGATCTATAATCTGCCCGTTTGGATCATAATGCGCCACATTTGACAGTCATATTTCAAGAGTGCAAACCACCTAGCTATTACTGGGAGCCAGTATTTCCTCCCATTGGAGTTCATCCACCATAAAACTGCAGTTGCCGAGCTTTCCTGCAAACAAGCAAACACTTGAAAGACCAACAAGGAGAACGTTAAGCTTTTAATCTTTGGCAAAGTTATGACGACCGGTTTTGCATTCATGGGGACTTTAGATTTTGATTAGAGCTTTTACAAACTCCCGGAGATGGAAGCGCCTTTTGTGAAGTTCTCTCTGTTTGGATTTGGTCGTAGACATCGAAAACATAAAGACTCGGTGTCTCTTGTGCCTTATTCAAACATCTATAGTGTGAAGTGGGATTATTGGTCATTTTCAAGCAGCTTCCACAATGACGCACCTCGGCTGTTTGGATTACGCATGACTGTACAGGTGCCTCAAGTCCTCCAGATGTCGGGTTTATTTTGCAGCTCCCTTTTTGTGTCGTGGTGGGGGATAAGATGGGGAGGCCTCAGTCTGAACTGAAGCCATGTTTTGCTCCGGTCCAGCGAGCTCAGACCTGCGGGTAGAAACAGAAAGGGGAGGGGGGGTAATACAGGCTGAACAGGTGAGGCTGAAAGGCCTCTTGGATGTTTAGTCTCAGCAGGCTAACCTGAAGGTTTGACCTCCCAAATTACTCCCCCATCCACCTCTTCCGCCCCCTCCCGCTTCCCTAGTGTGTCTGTAGGAGTTTCAGCGTGTGAACCCTCAGGTCAGTGATCTGTGAGAACACTGCAACATCCAGCCCTCCCCTGCTGGGTGTCGCTCAGACTGTTTGTGTGGGTTAATTTATGGACCTGCAGTTAAACCTGCTGGTTTGGCCTTTCGTCTTTCATAGTGGTGGATGCTGGTCAGTTGGGAACTCTAACACCTTTACAATTCAAATTTAGATTTGCATTAAAACATAAATATTCTGCTTTGTGGTTTTTAACAAGCTTGAAAAAAATCTAAAAGTAAATTGTTGGTGTAACCTCTTTTATTAAGAGATATAAGTCGCTTTACTTTAAAGAAGTTACAGAAACACAAACAAACATTTGTATTTTCTTTCAAATTGATGTTTTCACTGTCTCACACAGTGAAGGGAAATTCCCAAACCATCACACTACCTCTTCTGGCGCATCCTCTAATAATAATCCAGGTATACTCTCCAGGTAAGAACATGTGAAGTAAAAAGAAAACATCATCTTTCTAGGCCTGTTCCGGTTCTGGTGCTGTCACAAAAAATCACCTTGCTGACTTCATTTCCTACTTGTTCCATCTGTCCAAACAATCTCAATCCTCCAATATTTCGTTTTTTTTTTTATTTTTAAAAATGTAGCCAATCACAGTTATTTTTTATCTAAATGAGCCTTTTTGGAGGTTACAAAGAAAAGCAGTTGGGTAGAAATTTTTCTCATGTTTGTTTTCAACAAAATGTCACCTTTCTTTCAGAACCAACCTGCACCTTGTCATCAACTTAAGCTCATGTGTTTGATGATACCACCAGGCCAGCCCTGTGACTAGTTCACTAGTAGGTTAACATGATTAATGACACCTGTAGTCCACTTTCTTGATACGTCTTGATCAGGCTTGGACTGGCAATCTGTGAAACCGAGCATTTGGCCCCAACACTTAGGCCCCGTCCACACGAAGCCAAACCCTGGCCTAAACGCACAAATTTTTCACCAAACCAGCCTCTCATCCATACGAAGCTGGCTTTTCGGGGGTCTGTAAACGATCTTTTTTTTATTCAGCCTTCAGAGTGGGAAGATTTTGAAACGCCGTTTTCGCGTTTCCATCTTTAAGTTCTAACCGCATTTTTTTTCTTACACACATGCGTCATAGCGTCGCCTCTAAACACGCATGCGCGACACAGTATCACAACAACAATGGCGCCGTACTGTGTTGAATGGTTACTGCTCATGCTACTCACCCTGCTGTCGGGCTTACAACAGAATCTTCTTCTTCTGGAATATCTCCAGGAAGAACAGAGCAATATCGACGACATAGTTCATCACCTCAATTTGACTGAACCATGAAAATGGACCCGCAGGACCTTTTTCCGGTTTTCTGGTTTGGTTGTTGTATAAATATTACTGCGCATGCCCAACATTTCGTCGCCTATTTTTGCTTTGGCACCACAGCGCCACTTACAGGCCTGGCATACATTTTGCAGCGTTTTCATGCATTCGTGTGGACGATCACATTTATTTTACGTCTCCGTCTTTACGACAAACGTTCTGGAAAATATTAGCGTTTCGTGTTCGTTTTGACTTCGTGTGGACGGGGCCTTAGTCTCTGGCCGAAGCTCCTACCTGTGACAATAAATAACTCAAGGGGCTCAAGAAGTAAAACAATGTTAACTACCTAAATGATGCATGCAGTATTTATAGTATATATATTTTCTATTTCTTCAAACTGTAAAATCCTTGCAACAAACTAAATTATAATAGAACTAAAATGCTTTCTTTAAACAGAACTACGATGTTCCTCTTATATTTGGCAAATTCATGTTCGAATATTTTGCAAAAAATATGTTGTGGTGCATGATCCAAAGGCAACATAGCATTGTTGCCAGGTTGGGATGTTTCCCAATCTGGCAGTTTAGGATGGCCGCCTATGGGTAAAAATGTTTTTCTTTAGATTCATGGCCTTAGAAATCAATAGGCTTTGGTTCAAAATTGGGTGAGATTTCATATGTCCAGGGGGTTTATGAGCATTTTTTGGGCTAGAAAATGTGAGTCAGTTACATCTGGCAACCCTGCTGGACGTTACGCAGCAGCAGTCCATGTTAATAACCGCGTTATAGAAGTCTCTGTGATGATTTTCATGTGATGATTAAGGATAGATTTGGTTAATCCACATTGTGTATTCATATTGTTATCTTTTTTTTCTGGGGGCGGCGAAAATCAAAATGCCAGGGCCGAAAATCGTTCCCAGTCCGAGCCTGGTCTCAATGCTCTAACTCCAGCTGTAGCTCTCAACTTAAGACTGCCCTACCAAACTTTCTTCCTTCCACTCAACTTTTCATTAATCTCACTGCATAACAAGCCAGCTCCTTTTAACAACGATCTTTCATCTCCATCTATTATTTCTGTTTCACATAAGAAAACATTTTGAAAAGTTGTTAATTTGCTGTCAAATTTTCTGAATTTTGAGTTTTCTCATGTAATAAATTATATGCATTTTGTATAATCTGTTATTTTGCATTTAGAGTTATATTCCAATCTATTGAGATTTCATTTTATCTGGGAAGAAAATAAAAAATGTATTTAGTAAATTGCTATAAATCTCTAAGGTCAATAGAAAGCAAATAGTAAAGTAAACATTTAGTCAACCATGATGTCATCTAAAGGTAAATATATGACTAAAGTGTTTTCTATGATCGTTGCTCAAGAATAACCCTGCATTACAAACACACACACACACACACACACAGTCCGTGCACGCGGCTCCACCCCTCTGTAGCACGCGGCAGAGGGAGGCATGTCCCTGCGTGTTCCTGTCGGAGGTCGAGCCACATAGATCCAGAGCAGAGAGAGAGAGAGAGAGAGAGAGAGCAGGGCTGTCCGTGGATCCTGAAGCAGCAGCAGCCACAGCTCGAGCTGAGCTCTGCGTGGACTCTCATCAGCCCACCGATCCCGCTGATGGATCAGTGACGTGTCCGACCGTGGATCTGCGTGTTTCACTGTTTGTCTGTGTATTTCTGCGTGTTTCCCGGCTCATCGGTCCGGTTCTGCGGCCATGGGTTTCTACGGCACCCTGAAGCTCATCTTCTACAAGGTGAGAGTCTGTTATCGATCGGAGGGGGGGGGGCAATGCTGTGGCCGCGTGTCAATTCAGGGAACTAGAAGGTTGTCCGGCTCGTGCACCGGCCGGATGACGAGGCGTTTCTGCTTCTGACAGTGCGGCGCGTGCACGTGGTGGTGTCCGCGTGCACGTGACTGGACCACTGCGGAACCAGGAGAGAGAGAGAGAGAGAGAGAGAGAGGTTGTGGCTTCATGCAGCCTGCCCGATGCTCTGAGTCACTGATTACTGGCTATCATCTTCTGATTGGACCTTACAGGACACCGTAACCACCGAGTCCAATTGATCAGATGTGCTGCATCAATTAAAAACCATCAGTTCAATTAATGATATCAGCTCTGAACATCAGTATATAGGAAACTATCATCATCTCCTTTTATATCACAAAATGATGCGTTCAAAGTTTTTAGAAAATCTGTATTTTATATTAATTAATCCTTTTAAACTGCAGATCAAAATAATGAAACATTTAAACTTAACTTCTTTCTTTCCTGAATAAATGGAGTTAATTAGGTAACATCTACTGACACTGTTAACCCTTCCTGTTAGATTGGAGTGATCAGAAAAATATATATTTAAAAAGAATATCACATTACTTTATGGTTTAAAACCATTGGTGTATAACTAATAGAAACATCATTAAAGCTGTATACATGTGGCTTTGATTTATGAGCAAAAGGTTAAAAAGGGGATCAATATTTTACTCAATATTCTGCCTAACTGTAACAGATATCAATGATTTTATATAAATGCTTTACTTTTCTGTTATTTTCCAATTTTTATTACTTTTTTAAAATATTTTTTGATTACTTAAACCTGTTCTAACCTTTCAAGTGTCTGTATGTAGATTCCTTTTCTATTTCAAACCGTTTAAAAAGGGACGAACTGTACCTTTCTGTCTTGTTAACATCATTAGAAAGGATGGAGGTAACATTTTTGAGATTAAGGCTAAATTTATAACTTCATTTACCCATCAGAAAAGGTAATGAGAAGGGAGAAAATAGCTCTAAGTAGTTTAGTTTGATTGTTTGGATCCAATTTCTTTCATTTTCTGGAACATTTTGTCTTAAAGTAAAACAAAAATACATTTAAAACAGTAATTAAAGCAAAGCTGCCCTTTAAAACCAGAAGCTTCAACATTAAATCTTAGGAAAAGACTATTTTTCTGCTCTTCTCTGAAAATAACATGTAGATCCAATGGATTTGTTCTGTCAGGAGGGATATCTCTGCTACTATTTGGATTGTTTTTGGTCAATATTCTGGAAAAATTCAGCTGTAATAGAACTTCTTTCCCAGCTAAAAATGGTAACTTTGCTACCAAATGAAATTTCTTTGTGCTTCTAACTTAACTTTACCTCTAAAATGTTATGGTTCAACTAAAAAAATAAATTTAATCATAAAGAACTCAATTATTTTTGATAAAATGCATTGGGGAAACATAAATAGAACTCATAGAAATATGTTTAAAGCACAGTAAGGCTCTTTAAAGCTTTATAGCATAGTTAAAATGTCAATATTCAGCCTTTTCTCTCATATAAAGACACAAAGGAAAGAGCTGTGCCTCCTGATTCAAACAGAAGAACATAAAAAGTGGAATAAACCCTTCAATTTATAGCTTCAAAGATTCCAGATTTAAGCCATCCCTGCAGATAAAATTAATATCTCAAATTGCAGCTGCAGCACTTTGCATCGTTTCAGTCTAACATCAGAAAAAATGTCCTCTGTGTCCAATTAGGCCGAATATTTTTCCTGCATTTATCATCCCAGATAATACGCTTTAATCCTATAAAACAAAGTTTTTACAAATGAAACTCAGCATAGCCTTTTTGCCCCACCCATCTGCTTAACCGCTTAACACACGTTGAGAATAATATAAAATCTAATTTAAATCTTATTGCCTTTTCTAAGAGCTTTGATCTACACGATTAAAGCTGTAAAGTGCAGGTTTTTCTTGCTGTAGGAGGATTATTACAAGATAGAGCCGCTGTAATCGTGATATTTCCAGGTAAACGTCTCATCATGCCCCCAAACTGCAGGAATACAAGTGTTTGAAATAATGAAAAAGATGCTTTATTACAGGCTTCTATCTCCAGCTCTGACTCAGCGCCTGGTCATACGCTCGTCTCCAAGATGAAAGACTCAAATCTGAACTCTGCTGCGTGGAAACCCTGCAAATTACAGCATCTATAATCTGCTCGGTTTAGGTCAAACCTCACAAAGATGAACTGGATTCGGACGCCACGTGATTATCTGCTGCTTGTTAGTCTCTGCTGATGCAAACCACCAGATTAAACTCTTGCAAACATGCTGTTTGCACAGAAATGCAAATAAAAATGGTAAAATCCTGTTATCAGGACTAAACATGATCAAATAGAAATAAATCATATAGAGGTAATAAACACTGTTGAAAACTGTAGAGGAGAATCTGAATTAATCTGAATTTTATCAGCAAAATAAAGCCATGCAGCTGTTTTTTTTAACTTTAAAAAGCCGCAGAAGTTAAGATTAAAGCTTTGGAAATATGAGTTTTTCCCTCAGGAATTGGGGTTTTAGAGAGTTCAGCTGATGTAATCTTCACGGCTTAGATCCTGTATGAAGTACAAAGCATCAAAACTCTTTCTTTTATCTGCTGCTCATTGATCTTTACAAAAACCTGCAAGTGATAACCTGAAGGTGAGATGCATTAAATGTAAAAACATGGCTGCCCCCTGGTTTTAATAAGCCTATTCTTCTGAAAACTGACAAAATCAGTTACATTTGCATTCAATTTAATCTTGAAATACTTTGTTGATACCAAAACTTTAACATAGAAAAATATGCTTTGGAAAATTAGTTATTCTTGCTGGAAAAAAGGGAAATAAAAATAAAAAACAAATCTGCTTCTCGACTGAAAAGGGCAAACTGCTGAGCTTCAATAACTTAAAGGGAAAATATGAAAATAAAGATTATTATGAGAAAGAGATAAAAACCAACGTAAGTAAAATAATAGAGATATTTCATAAGGCCTATGAGGGGAATAAATTACGAATTATTTCAGCACTGTACCAGGGACTGATGGCAGGCAGGAAGACATCTACCATGTACGTTAAAGTAAAATGGGAGGACGAATTGAAGGAACACATAAGCGGGGAGGAATGGTTTAAAATTTGTAAAATACAATGCACAGCCACCTGCTCTCGTGTGTGGAGGGAATTTAATTGGAAAAACATGATTAGATTTTGTATGACACCAAAGATCAGGACCGGGATGTTATCCAGTTCACAGCCATGCTGGAGACTCTGTGGCCAGACTGATGAAGGCCACACGCACATATTCTGGTCTTGTCTAAAGCTAACCACATACTGACATAATGTTTGCCTTATTTTGAAAAACATATTGGGTTATGGAATACCCAGATCATGTAAAACACTTTATCTAGGATGCCTCACACACGATGTGATTCAAAAGGATGATGAATACCTGCTAAAAATATTACTTTCAGCATCAAAGAAAACCATCACAAAACTATGGTATAGACAAGACTCCCCCGCGGTGGAGCAGTGGATGAGCATTGGGGAAGAGATTTTTGTAATGGAGAAAATCACACATAGACTGAGATTGCAGGAGGACAAGTTTGATGTTAAATGGGAAAAATGGAGCGACTACAGACGCAAGGAGAATACCATTCTTGTTATGGATGCACGATGTTGGGATTTTGGCCGATATCCGATATGCCGATATTTTAAAACTCATGTAGCCGATAACCGATATCGATACCGATGTTAAAGCTGGACAAAAATAAGTAGTCATTGAAAATAGCAGTTTTGTTATCCATTTCTGATAGCCTGACGTAGTCCGACTCAATTCTAGTCAGAATATGAGTCTGATACTGCTCCATAGAGCTGTGATTATGGGGCGTGTTTTGAACGAACCAGGAAAAAAAATGCCTCTGCACTCAATTGGATAGACCTACAACCAATAAGAGCAACGGAGTGCGTGACGTATGTTAAGCAGCGCATAGTTGTTGTCAACAAAAATCAAAGCGTGCAGTTGCACGCCTATAAGAAGATGAGCCTTGATCGCGTTTCTCTGTTCCTCTTTTAAAATTAATTTACTGTCGATATCTTCTAGAACAGACCTAATAGCAGAATCTACTCACCCAAACTCTCCAGCGGCAGCCATTGTTGTTGTCACCCAAGCGCGCATTGGTCACGTGGTTTATTACGTTACTGTTGATCATCTGTCCATCATCGTATAAAGCCCGCCCTGACAATTTGATTGGATCGCCTGACAGTGGGCGATAATACTCGCGCTACTATGGAGCAGAGCCAGACCGAACTTCCCGACCTCAAACTTTGTGGGCGGGACTAAGTTCGGAATGGCACCCAGGCTACATTTCTGACACTTTGAAAAATAATATACTCAAATATATTTTCATATGCTGATATCAAATAGATTTTTAAAAACGCGGTATCGATCTATTTTACTTTCAAAATCTCGTGAAATTTCATCGTTCTGTTACAAACTCTCGTGATATTTTGCAAATTCTTGTGAGATTTTGTTAGTAAAATAGATCGATACCGCGTCAATATATCAACATATAAAAATATGGCAAAATCTCGTGAATTTTCGGGGTATTTCGTAGCATAACGATGACATATAGCAATATTTCATTAGTAAAAGAGATTGATATGGTGTTTTTAAATGGCAATATATCAGCATATGAAGATATTGTGATATTTTAATGTATCAATATTTTTTCCCTCGTCTTTAGATGTTTTTAAGTCTAAAAAAGAAGTTTTTGAGGAAGAAGTAGTAATATTTTTTATTTTTTTTTAAGACTTTAGAAACTCAGAAGCTGATCGAATATCGGGTTAAATATCGGTGGGGTGGCCGATGTCCGATATTCAGTTTTAATGCTGATACCGATAGGGGGCCGATTATATCGTACATCCCTAATTCTTGTATCCAGATAAATATGGACACGGTTATCCAACATTTTATATGATAGTTGAATGTATTGTTGCCTCTTCACTGTATGTGTTCAGAAATGTTCAATAAAAATTAAGTATAAAAAAAAATCAGCTTCTCATGGAATTAGTCGATATCTATTCAATAAGACAACTGGGCCTTTAGGATCCCAATATTTAGATGATGGAGGGAAGTGATGCCGCTCATTGATGGGGCCTGTAACACTTAGATTGGCTTTTTAAATCAACAAAATGCCTAAAAATTAAAAATAGTTGTAGCAATTTATGATTTTTCATTATTATTGCTTTAAATCCCAAAACAGTGTAGCTTTAGAAATTGAAATCAGACAGAGATCAAACTATTTACTCATGATTGGCTCTCAGATCAACAAAATATATATATTTTTTAACCTCCAGTTTAATAAATGCATGACATCTTCATCTGTTTCCTAAATCTATAAACAATTGAACACAAATAAAAGTCTGATGAATGTTAGGGGTGCAACCTTTGATCCATAATCTTGTATCTTCTTTATCTACCACTTCTATCAGCAAACATGGCTGCTCATTTCTCTTCTCACAACATATATTTAGCAAACCAGGAATCTTAAAAAGCCTTGACTGATGCATCTCTAATTCTAAGAGATAAGGCAGCACTAATCTAGAGAAATGACTCAAAACCTGACGGTTTTATCTTCATACTGTAGGAATAATGTTGGTTTAACAGCAGCAGGGACATTAGGATGTGGTGCATGTTTGTAGTTGAATGAAAGGCCTGCCTGTCGACTCGGTTCGCAGTGAGGTCGCTGCATAACCTGGACTGATAACTGTGGGCTCTCTCTGCAGAGAGGCTTCAGCTCTGGCAGCACCAGAGTTAAAACATCAGGACTGGGTTATTCTGGTTTTAACAGGAAACGCATTCTTTTGGTTTTTACCACAAAGTCGAGTTTTTTTTCTTTCTTTTTTTTTAGCAGAATTGCCACAGATGTGACATCTGTTGCTGAAAGCCAGAGAGTCTGGGAATAAAAAGCAGATCCTGAATGAAACCCACTGACTTCCTTAACAATCACGCTGAGACCTTCAGGTTCAGGTTCGTGTGCGTTTAGCCGCCTGTTAGCTCTATTTTAAAGCAGCGCTGCACCGGCGACATTCCTCCGATTTTCTGCATTCCTGCGTTCATTCACTGGCTGAGAGAGAGAGACTCTCGGAGGAGGGAGACGGCAGGCTGAGTCAGACCTCCGGGTGGCTGTGTTTGTGTGTTCCCCCTCTCAGCGTGGGTGTCTCCAGCAGAAACGGTTTATCTGCAGCTCCCTGTTACCTCTGGACTCTGCAGCAGCTGTTCTGGTCTTTTTTGTTTCTGAAACCCACAGATGTTTACAGAAACTGGCCAACTTCTTCCACTACAGATTTCCCCCCGCAATGTGTTAAATTCTTAAAATCGACCCTGGAATTAGTGCTTGTATCCTGCTTCATGCATCTCCATCTCTGACCTTGGGGCTATTTAATGCACACATTTCATTAAAGTCCCTTTTTTTTACCTGCACAGTCAAATATACAGTGGTGTTTTCTTCATTTACTAAGCTATAGAAGCCCTCTGAACTGACCTTACTCTGTGTGAACTGGTGGTGCCACCCTAGGATGCATCAAACATGTGTGATAACTGTCTTTTAAATCTCTGTGGGTTTACTCAAAGGACGCTGTGGGTCATTTTGAGTAAAAAACGCTTCAGACTTTGACTAGGACACTCCCAAACCTTGAGGGAAGGTTTGTTTAGGAGCCATTCAAAGGCAGCATAGTGCTTTAGCTTTGGATTTGTATTATTATCTTCTTTATTTTGGGATTGTAACTTTGCAATTTCCAATGACATTTTCCCAACGTTTAATCTCCCCCCTTAGGGAGCGTTGAGCTGCCATTGTGCAGCCCCAGGGGAGCTTAGAGTGGCAGTCTGTTGGAGTTAAAGCAGGGAGCTTATAGTTTCCCAGGATGCAAGCTTCCTGCTCTAACCACTAGGCCATAACTCCCCACCCCCCTCCTCTACCAGATAACCAAGTGTGCTTTATTTTTAGAGATGCACTATTAAAGGCTTGGCGTTCTCCTTCATGGTTCTATCAACCAAGACTGTTGATCAAGGTCCTGAAGAATCAAACCAGACCAAGAGTGGAAGTTTGTCGTTTTATGAACTTTTGCAGATGGAGGTCAGGATGCAGAGCTTCCAAAATGTTCCGATGGATGTCCATGATTTTTTTTGAATTCCTTAAACTTGTTGTTTTTTGAGCTCTTTTAAGCAACTTCATGCTGCAAGACCTGTTCTGTTTAAAGGATTAATAAGAGCAGACATTAATCAGGCGAATGTACTCTAAAGGGTAGCTTGGTTAGATTTTTACACATCATCAGGCCAGTTCAGGTTGTTCTTATTTTAAAAAATCCTTGTTTGAATTTGAAGACATCTTTGTTCATATTTGTTAACTTTTTTTGTCATAGAATAAAATTTGTTTATTGATCAGAAACATCATGGTTGGCCAAACAAAAGTAAGAAAAAATTTAATATGGTTAAAAAAAAATGCGGTTATTAAAAAAAAACATTTAAAATGAAGGTTAAAAAAATATTTGGACACTATTGAATCATATATTTATTAGGGGTGGTCACGGTTTTCGGTTCGGTTCGGTATATGTTGATTGTTAGCCTGACATGTTGGTCGTGTTGCTGTTAGCATAAACAAAACGTGTTGCACAATGCTTGCACACTGTTGCACTTTTACCCACAGCTTTCTTTCCGCCGTCATCGTAGGTCACTCTAAATGCAAAGCGGTCCTATACAGCAGACCTATAAAGTGCTGCTGGCACGTCTTCCAACTCCTGTTCTTTCCCACTCGTCATACCCACACAATTCTCCACAACAACTGATTTTTTTCTGCTACACCCGGCTACGCTGCTTCGCTTCTTCTTCTTGTTTACTACTGGTGGTTGGCTTTGGTCGCAGTACCGCCACCTTCTGCTCTGGAGTGTACACGCTTCGCCTATGATAAAAAGGAGCAGCGCATGAACCGAACGAAACACACGCGAACCGAACCGAACGGTTCAGATGGTTTTCATAAACCGTTCTATCCCTAATATCAATCAGTCTTGTTGAAAGTTTGCAAATGCCCAAAGAAATCTTTTTGCTTTGATTGGTGGAGGTTGGATCACGTAGGGGACATTTCCTGAAGAGCTAATCATGCAAACATTTAGTTTCATGTTACTAACATTTGATATGTTCCTGTTTGGCTGTGACCCCATCATGGAGATCAGCTGTGCTGCTGCCATCAACACCTTTGTTTATAGATCCTGGAGATCGGCCTGTTTTTCCAGTGTAGTCCTGTTTCTCTGACTGTGACTGGCTGGATGTGCTCTCTTAATCCTCTGATATGGGAACTGGCTCGGAGCTCGTCTGCCTGGCTGTGTGTTTCCTAGACGGGGAAACACACAGCTTGCTTTTTGTATCTCTGCCTCTGTCTCCTTGAACCCAAGTCAGCTCAGGAGATGGCCGCTCACACTGAGCCTGGTTCTGCTGGAGGTTTCTTCCTGTTAAAAGGGAGTTTTTCCTCTTCACTGTCGCTACAAGCATGCTTAGTGTGAGGGATTGCATCGGAGTCAATGAGTCAATGCAATCAACTGGTTTTCCTTAGATAAAAAACCTTGAATCGATGTGACTGGATGATCTGGTGAAATGTAAAGTGCCCTGAGATGACATGTGTTGTGAATTGGTGCTATAAAAATAAACTGAATTAATATAAATACCCAAGAAAATATTTAACACTCAACAAAATTGGGATAAAAAAAATCCTAAGTGTTTGAAGGCATTCAAAATATCTTTTATTAACATGAGGAATTCACCTTTTTCAACCTCAACATTCTATTGAACTTTCTCAATAGAATCACAAATGATTGTTAAATAGGTAAATAATCCAGTATGAAAATATTCTAAGGTTTTCTGAGGTATTATTTTGGTGTGAAATTAATCTATAATTCAAAAAATTACAATGGTAAATATGTGAGAACTTTAGCACTGATACCGTATTAGTAGAGTTGTGTCCAGATACAGCGTCTGAGTGTCGACATTGATTTAAATTATCTGATACAGAAATATCACATCAGAAAATTGGTAATAAATTCCGTTGTGGATGTTATTCTTCATTTTGTGTGATAAACATATGATATTGTTACCATTTTTTAGAACCTGCTGAGTTTTTCTGAGTCGTTTTCTCAGACTTTGTGTTTGTTAACTTCAGATGAAGAGGAAGCTGGATCATGGTCCAGATGGCCGACCGTTCCCCTCAGGAAAGAAGCACTGCAAGGGAAACGGATACCTCAGGTAACGCAGCTGATAGGGAAGGGCTTTATCACCTCAACTTGTCCACAATAAGATGGGATCTACTGTAAGATATTGTCTTCTAATCAAACTATGAAGTTTATTCTCTGAATTTTTAAAGTTACCTATAGTCTTTATCTTTGATTTCATCATATTTTGTTATGTTACAGCCACAAAATCTTTATTATAAACCAAGGAGTAAATATTTGTGAAGTTACCAAAGAAAGATTTCCTTTTCTCAACAATCAGACCAGTGTGATGTTCATTTGGATTCATCCCCATCATGATCAGCTCCCTTCAGAAGCCTCCTTATTATTAAATAAAGTTTGCACATGTAATTATGTCTCAGACCGTCTTCCTAAACTGAGAGGCGGGGCAGGAAGAACATCCATCAGAGATGCAACAAAGAAGCTCCTGATGATTATAGAGAAGCTGCAGAGATTCAAAGCTTAGTTGGTCAAATCTAACAAGTTTAGAGAACCCTCAGGTTATTGCACTTCATACATGTGGCAGGAGGGAAGGTAACGTTCTAACAGTTCTGTTTGCAGTTTGCAACAAGCCACGTCAGAAAGTAACCCACAATACCCCTCCATAAAGCATGGCAGTGGCAGCATCATGCTGTGGGATTGCTTTTGTCTGCTGGACAGGATGGTTGGAGCTAATTGTGAACAATTCTAGAAAAAGACACATCTGTCTGAGGCTGTTAAAGTTTTAAGACTCAGATTTCGTCATTTAAACTAATTTATGTGTTAGAATGGCCTAGTAAAAGTCCAGATCTATGGGAAAAATAAAAACTAAGGGAAATAGACACTTTCCATCCAATCCAATCTAGACTAGAGCTATTTTGCAATGAAGAATTAAATAAATATCCACTTATTAGATGTGCAAAAGCGGCTAAAGGTATCACTCAGTTCTTGCAGCTCAAATTGCAATGAAATGTAAGTTTTTGATTCGGGGACAGCTGAACACAAATGCACAACACACTTTTCAGAGTTAAATTGTTTTCTTTTTAAAAGACAACTTCCTTCTTTTACTTCTTCGCAATCATGCACTACTAATTGTTAATCTCTCATATACAATCCTGATTAAATAAACTGAATCTTGTTCTATTTTGATGGGGAAAGAAAGCTTGATGAAGTTTTAGACACTACAAGATGCTGTAAATTATACACAGGCTTCATAACTTATTTTTTTTAACCCTGCAGTCCCTCCAGTCTGGCTCAGGCCACGCCCACGACGTTCGGGGACCTGCGGCTGGCGAATGGCCATTCAGCTCAGCGGCGACGGGTCAACTCCGGCCCGCCTCCTTCTGGACTGCAAGACTGGCTTCTTACTTTTCAGGTTTAAGTCATGATTTATTATCTTTCTACTACATTTAGCATCACTTAAATGATCAGAAAGCTTAATATTTTTTTAAACAAGCATATTTGGTTTGGTCATTTTCACCTCTGTGGATTAAAAGCTCTGATTAAATACTGAAATCAATCCACCCTTTGTTGCTTTCGTCATGTTTCCAAACAGTCGCACTTTCTTGTCATCTTTTAATCAACAGTTCTGAAGGCTTTCTGAAGGTCTTTCCCTTTTTCTTTTTTTTTTCTTTGGGCTGTAGCTGGATGGTGGATGACTCACTCGGCTTTGAGCTGAGACTCCACCTCTCCTGTCCTGCAGCACTGCAAAATGCATCCACATTTCTTCATTATCTGCATTCTCTTTTTTCGGCGTAACTTTGTGTGCGTCTTCCGCTCGGTGCACGCAAACAGAGAAGCATCTGGGTAGTGCCTGCAAGTTGTCCTGATGCAACTACTAAAGAAAAACATGAAGACAAAAAACTCACATAAAAGGAATCATCTGCACACAGAGTAAATGAAAAAAAAAACATATGGACCCTTTAGTTTAGTATGTAGCTTCAAGAGGAAGATCAAACAAGTTCAGATACAAATATAATGAACCAATAGCAAAGAAATGAAAGACAGCTGAACAAAGAAAATAGTAATTCACTAATGGATATAAGCAAATAGAAAAGACTTATTAGTAAATTGAAAAAAGGATTCAAACAAAAGAAGTCCTTAAAATGACTCTGACCATCATCCCTTTCTCTCCTCCTTTCTGTCTGTCTGCAGACGTGGAGCGGCCCAGAAAGGCTCTTGGCTCTGGATGAGCTGATTGACCGCTGTGAGACCAGCCAGGTGAAGCACATGATGCAGGTCATCGAGCCTCAGTTCCAGAGAGACTTCATATCTCTGCTGCCCAAAGAGGTACAGCCTCGGAAACAGGAGCAGGATTCCTCAGGCTCTGTGACAGAACGCGCTGCTTTATTGCTGTTTTTGCTTGTGTCTGCAGCTCGCCCTGTACGTGCTCACCTTCCTCGCTCCGAGCGACCTGCTGCAGGCCGCGCAGACCTGCAGGTACTGGAGGATTTTGGCTGAGGACAACCTGCTGTGGAGGGAGAAATGCCGCGAGGAAGGTAAACACTCCCAACGAGACTTAAACCTGATTACATTGATTTTATTTGCTCTCTAACCTAATTGCATTATTTTCTTGTTATATTCTTCTTTTTAAGGGATTTTAATTAAAACAAAACTGCAAGTTTTTCTTTAGAACTAGAGACGCACCGATCCAGTTTTCTGATCCAATCCGATACCAATACCTTTGCTCAGCATATTGACCGATATTTGATATCGATTGAATTTAACTGCTGAATTAATGAATCATGTCTTGCCATGTGAGTGAAGGCTTTAGCTTTGAAATAAACATAGTTAAATGAAAGGTAGCAAATAAGCACAAATATAAAGGGTTTTTTATTATTATTAATTAACAAATAAGCATGAAAAAGATAGAAATAACAGTTCTATGTAAAGTGCACTGGATTGGATCTTATTAGTCAAAGTCAGGGCCGATATCTGATCCAGGTAGCAGATCGGTGCATGTTTAGTTAAAACCTCACCTCTTCTTCAGAAATTTTCCAGTCTAATTTATTTTTTCACTATTTAAACCACCTTATAAATGATTCATCTGTAAAAAGATGAAAATTCCAATTGAAAATAGTGTTATTTCTGAGGCTTTAACTCTTTATCTTGTATTTCTGTATTATTATCATGAAAAGAAATAGTTTCAAATCCTTTTTTATGAATTCCTGAACCATAATAGGAATAAATTTAAAATAATTCAAAATGATGAAAACGATTATCTTAAAACGATGATCTAAAAAACTGTAAAATCATTAGCCTTTGCCAGATGTACTTATAGTAAATGGAGTATTTTCCTAAAAGAGTCTTGGCAGAGTTTAGTAAAATGCAGATAGAAATGCACCGTAAACAAACGCATTCATAGCCTTTAGAAGGGAAGTAAAGTGGTTTATTTAAACGTACACATTTACTGTAAAGCAGCGTTAATGCGGTCTGTTTTCATGTGTCCTCAAAGCAAAGCAACTAGTATGCATTTTTCAAAGGATAAAACCAAAAAAGCATGACATCAGTGTGAAAAAAGCAAACTTTCTAGATGTAAAATGCTTTCCAACCTGGGGGTAACATGCTAATACAGCAATCCATCACTCCCATTTCATTCAGCGCAATGCAGTGGATGAGTGTGTGCGTTAGTGTGTGTGTGTGAGTGGCTGCTGGGCGTTCAGCCAGTCAGCCGAGATTCACTGCCAGCGCTCAGCAGCCATACCAATGAGGCTACCTAACATTAGCGCCACACCACAGCCATACTAATGAAGCCAGCGCTAACTACAGCCTACCAGCTTCATAAATAAGGCTAATTATTAACCCTCACACCATACCACTGGGAACACTGGTGCTGTTTTCAGGAAGTCAGTGAGAATACAAATGCAGCTAGCCTTCATTAGCACCATTCCATTTACATACTAATGGAGCAACTTTTCATGTACCGCTCCAGAGCTAACTAACTAAACTAAATCTACAGCAGATGGTGTTTTGCTCAAAGCATTTACAACGAAAACACATTAAATCAGGAAAAAATTTGCTTAAATGTTTGCAAAAAACAAAATCTTAATCCCAACATCAAAGCTTTAAAAGCTAGCGTCATCAATAAAGCAGCTAATGAAGCGTTGGAGTTGTATTATTAGAAAATTAAAGTGTTTTCAAGTGCAGGGAATCATCAACTACAGGTTCTTCCATCCACATGTTTGTGAAAAATCATGATAAATACAAGTTTAATTAATGTTAAGTCAGATAACAGGCTTTTTAATGCTTGGCTTTAAGGTTAAAGTCGTAGGGAAGTCATATTTAAATGTCAAAATGTACTCTTTATCAGACCATATTGTCCCAAAAGTTAGAAAATTTCTTTTTTTTTTTTTTATCCTATCCTATTTTTTTCTTGTTATTTTATGCAGGCCACTTGAATTTGACCAATCATATATTTTAAGAAAATTGGTACCAAAAGTGAACCTCATGCCAACAATAAATTAAAATTCGGTAAAAATCCAGATCATGTGTGAGTTTTAGCTATTGCTATAAGTCATAATTAAAGTCGTAGAGAAGTCATAATGAAATGTAAAATCATTCTGGCTTAAACATGTACAGAAATGTACTTTTTATCAGACAATATTGTCCATAAAGTTAGAAAATTTATATTTTAAAATAATCCTGTCTTAAAATCTGTGTTTTCTCTTCCGTAATCTTATGCAGGCCAGTTAGTTATATGTCAGCTTGTACACCTAAATTCGGCCAATCATATATCAACGATCATCTGTCAATCAAACTTTTTCAGTCATAGCATCCTGACTCATATCTCGCAGCTAATATACGCAACGGTTGAAAAAAGAGTTAGGAATCATTTCCTTTCCCATTGAGTTCCATCCCAGTGTTCACGGGGATGGACTTCTGTGTCTTCAGCAGGCGTAGAGCTAACAGAACTGGCAGCGTTGCGAGGCAAGGACTCAAACATGTACGGCTGGAAGCCTTCTACACCAAACCAAGCTTCTTTGTCCCCACTTTTCTCCTCTATATAAAAAATGTATGACGAAGGAGACTCATCCACGACCTCCGACACTAAACTCTCCTCCTCTTGCATGTTTCCGCTGTCCATAGCGTTCCTTGACAGTGTCGTTTCTAAGTCACCAATTTGGTGCTACTTGGTCCCAATGGAATTTCCCATTGGGAACCTGCTAGCATTAAGCTAACTGGTTAGCAAGATGCTTCCGAGAGACTGGCCACAACCAAACATGCTTGTGAACCTTCCGCCACAACAATCCCGCCCCCTTGATAAACGACCAATCACATTCACTTTATTCACTCGTGTAAAGTCGGGCACCTCTCAGGAGAATTAGTAACTGCAACGGTTGGAAAGGCCGCTACCCTACGACAGTTATTAGCTTACCTCTAGACTAGCTAGGATGTGTCCAATCCTGAATAGGCCAAATTTGTAGGCCAGTTATGTGACAGCATTTGACTTTACAAGCTCCAATGTAATATTTTTATGTATTAATTTGTTCTCCTGTGTATAGAGACACTTCTACTGTGCATACTGAAGGGTTAGCAGATGTCAGTTAGAATAACAAAGCACTGATCACGTTCGTGACCAACCTGCGCAACATATTCCTAAAATAAAAACCTAAAGCCAGATCATCTATTAAATTAGATTAAACAACATTCAAAAAGAGCTTATTAAATTTTTTTCTAATAAATCCATTCACACATTTTGAAATTTTTGTGGAAAATTAATTTGGGGGGCATTTAAAATGTGTTTTGACTTCAGTCGTTTGATTAGTCATTTTCCAAATTGTGCTTCCAAAGACTTATAACACTGTTATTAAACATTCAGAGGATGACTAAAAAGCCCAGCGGTTGTCTTTCAACTGCAGCCTCTCTGAAGTCGGGCAGCTTTAATCAGAGGTTGGAGCTTAAAGAAATTTTTTTTTAATGTGTGAATGAAAAAATACTTTAAATAAGGGAAGTTTAGATGATTCCTGGAGATGAAAAGACAGAAAATGACTGAACTGGCTGTCACTTAACATAGTACACATAGTACATCCCTGTTTGAAGGACTCAGCTGAAACAATGTGTTTCTTTTCTCTGGAGTCACTATGGTATATCTTCTATAGTAACATTACAGCCATAAGACCTTGATTTATCGTTTTATTTCCTCTCCTTAGGTATATCAGACAGAATGCCATACCATCGCAGAGACTGTGTGCATCCAGACGCTTCATTCAGCCCTTGGAAATCTGCCTACATTAGACAGCATCGCATAGAGACCAACTGGAGGAAGGGGGACAGGAGGGAACCCATGGTACCATTCAGCACAGCTCACATCACAGAGTTTTATAAGCAGGAATTAAGCGAGAGGCTGACCCTACCATGTTTTTATAGGTGCTAAAAGGTCACGATGACCATGTGATCACTTGCCTCCAGTTCAGCGGAGACCTGATCGTCAGCGGTTCAGATGACAACACGCTCAAAGTGTGGTCAGCCATCACTGGAAAGGTAGGATGGGATAAATAAAAGCTTTACTGCAGCTTTATTTTCAGCCCAAATCAATGCATCTGTTTGGGATAATTGCTGAGGCCCTCTATGGCCTTAATGAGGCAGGTTTCACTGAGCAGAACAGAAGAAAGTGGAGGCAGACGGACCAGTCGTGTTGGTCCGGGTGTGTCTCTGAAATGCTGTTCAAACACCATCTGCAAGCACACAAACACAGAGTAGCTCACACACAGCCTGCAGCGCCGTTGGTTCAATGCACAGCTTATATAGGATGTGTGTTAAAGGTGAACAGAGAGTTAACAGTGATCATCTGTGTTTGCTCAAAGTCACATGCTGTTTCTTTCTACCGTCTCATCCTGCAGCAAACACCTGCATAACCTTAAACACACACAGACATGAAATAAATATATTCTGAGCCCGTTTTTCACTTCGCCTCAAAAGCAATGAAAGATTTAAAAGAAACAGAAATAACTGAGCTGAGCTCCACTACCTTAAGGTAACTCACTTTAGTAGAGACATTCTCCATCTATAGGTATATAGTGTCACTCTCAATAGTAGGAGTTGGGTACATACTGATCACTGGTATGAAACTTTACATTTTTTGTTAGATTTATGAGTTTAATACATCCAGATTCTCCCTATCTTCTTGTATCTATGGATTAAAGTTATTCCAATGAAGTGGAAAATACCAGGATGGACTAAGTTGATTAAGCTGTATGTAACAAACTGTACCTCAGAGCAGCCCCTCCTCTGTAGTATCTCTGTTAATAGGCGACTGTACGCCGTCTCCTTTTTATCTTTTTTAGATCAGTGAATGCATTATACTAAATATCCAATACATGGGGCTGGAAAAAAAAGAGAAAAAGAAACACTCTTTAGTGTAGAAGTCGGTCCTGGAGGAGGAAAGTAAAAAAATGAGATAGATCTAAAGTAGTAGGAAGCTGTTAAAAAAAAATGAGGCTGATATAACACTGAGACTTTCCGTAAAAGTTTAGAAAACAATCCACTGGACTTGGTTTCCAAGGTTTGAAGACGTTTCGCTTCCTCTCCAGGAAGCGTTCTCAATTTAAATGTGATAGAGACAGGCTCTCTTTTAGAAAACGGTTTCGTCCTTTTTAACTTTTTATTTATTTGATTTGAAAAAAATACGACCTTGTTGGCAGGGCTGTAGAAATACACAAGTTAATATAACTACCAACATTCTCTAGGGCTGTGGTTTAAGTGGGGGCCGCCAGGGGGCGCTAGTGGGAGCTCAGGTAGATGAGAAAACAAATCTTTATCGTGAAACATATATCATTATCTATTAAATACGTATTGTAATTAATATATCATAATAGCATGAAAAATGAGAAGATGTAAATTAAAACTCTTCTTCTGTCTAAGGACTCTAGTCTGACGACTAACCCACTGAGGCTAACGGGGTACTTAAAGGTATTTTGGATTAATTTTTTTAAAGGTATTTTGGAGGATTTCCACTTTTTAAAAAATGCGATATTCATGAGCCCGTTTCTCCTCGTGCACACCGTGTTTAAAATGTGCTCTTCTCATAGCTCATACAAGCCTACTGTGTCCACTTACAGCAGACTTTATAGTAAGGTGACCAGATTTCTGCAATCTAATCTGGGGACATTTCCAGCTCATGGATAAAAATAAATACATTTTATAAAAAATTAAAATAGGAAATGGGAACAGTGATGTTTTCATCCATTTTTACATATTTATTAATATTTCAACAAAAATCAAGTATGAAATCTAGGAATCCGCCTCTTCCATATCCTAAGATAAATAATATCAATCAATCAATAGTGTTTATTAGCACCATCTGGTCATAAAGTCTTCCCTATCTTCATCCCTTTTTGCGTATTATATTTGTTATTGGTCGCCGCTGCTTATAGCGACAGCGGGCTGCTGTGACAGAAATATTTGGTACTGACACTCAAAGGTTAATGCTAACTCTGCTAACCATGCTAAAGCAGTTTAAAAACTCCAAATATTATCGTTTCAAATGAACGAAACATTGTTTAACACTGTATGCTTTATTATTCCCAGTGTTGCTGCTAATATAACTAATAAGTACTCAAAGAGAAAAGCTAATATTTCTGACTTTGATCTTAAAGCAGGAAATATAAACGGCGGGGCCGGGGCCCCGATCCAGCACTAAAATGGTGGTATCGGTATTGGCGTGTACCAACAAATAAGGCGGTATCGGTATATACTATTTTGAGAGCCAAAACTTTATTCAACTGTTGTCACCCATTCTAGGTAGGGAATAAAAAGTTCTACTGGATTCACTTTGTATCGGTCTTTTTCCTGCTTCACAAAGCTTGACAAAACCATGATGGCAATTATTTTACATCTAAGTAGTACACTGCAAAAACGATCTAGAAATAAGTAAAAATTTCTTAAATTAAGTGTATTCACCCTTAATTTGAGTAGGTAAAGGAGATAATTTGCCAATGGAATGAATATCTTTACTCCTATAATAAGATAATTAGATAATATGCACTTGAAATAAGACAATGCAGTTGTGTTTTCTTATTTTAAGTGTAAATTGTCTTGTTCCATTGGCAAAATGGCTATTTTACCTCCTCAATTCAAGAACAAATGCACTTCTTTTAAGAAAAAAAAGACTTATCTAGATTTAGATTTTTTGCTGTGCAGTTTTTCATATATACACACACACATGTTAATTTCAAACAGATGGTATCGGTATTGGCCGATACTGCGCAGCCAGGTATCGAGTATCGGTATTGGGACCGAAAAAACCCCTCATAAACTAGCCAAAATTGGTATCTCTAAATCTGTTAAAGCTTTACAAAAAACAAAGACCCGAATTTTGACCCTAAAATTTAGGTTAGTACTTTTTTATTTTGTAGGATAAAAATAATAAATATATATTCTAATATTATTTTAACATCATTACTAACATAGCATATTTTATTGTAGTATTCCTATGAATAAACTGTTTTAAATAAAATGAAAAATTCATGTTATACCTTGAAGTTCATATGAATAGAATCTTTTTTTTTTTTTTTACTGCTGGCTTTTCTTTTTCTAGTCCCATGACTTGTTGGGGATAGTATTTATTTAAATCATGGAAAGTCCCTGTCAAGATAAGCCATGTCGTTAGAGGGTGGGGACTGGTTTATGGATCCCAACAATTCCAAAAATGTGCAAAACATATTTCAAAACAACCATAAAGTCAGATCAGTATCATTTGGTTTCCCCCGCCATCAGGACAGGTGAGAGTTCAGATTTTATTCTCCCGTTTCAGTTCAAAGTTCACATGTTGAAATAATAACAGCTGTCCGTTGTGATGCTTTTAAGACTGCAACGTTTTTTTGAAGGTTTTTTAGATTTCTGCTGCTGAGGCCTCCTTAAAAACTCCCGTTATAGAATTATTAAAGCGATGCCTAGATATTAGTTAAAGGAAAACCAACAGGTATGCTTTCTGGTTTCGGTTGAACATTCCTCCAGGTGACACACCTGCTCCCTGTCCAGGCCTGCCACTGTGTACACATTAATTACCCATGTTGTGAGGACCTTCCCACCTTTTTTGGAAGCAACCATCAATCTATAGATAATTAGATTTTAAAGGTCAGCATTTTGGGTATGGATTCAAAATGATTCAAAGTTGGTTTAATGAACTCCAGTCCAGTGGGTGATGGAATCTGCAGTGAGTCTGCAGTGTTTTGGTTTTTGTTGCCGGTGGAAACAGACACGCCTTCATTTGTAGCCCGAAGTGACGAAGAGCTGCGCGCTTCATCATCGGGGCTTCAAGCATCGTCTCCTTTTTTAAACAAACAGCAGAATCAGAACGTGACGAGTGAAGGCCGACGTGACCTCCTATGCCCCCCCCCCTCCGTTGCCATGGCGACCCCCACCACAACACTCATGAGATAAAAGCCGGTTCTATCTGTCCTCACGTCCTTCGACTGCGGCTGTGAAAATAAAATAAATATTGACACAAACTCGCAGGTTTGAGGAGAATGTGGCGAGACGAATACTCACAGAGGCGGGATATTTTTTCTCTTTTCTCAGTCTGTTTTTTATATATTTTGTGGAGGTCAAGTTAATTTTGATACTTTTTTAGCTTATCTTCTTCTGTTCTTTTCAGTATATTTTAATTATGTTCAATATGTTTGCCTTCTGTCTGTATAAAATGCTTCAAATCAGTGCTCCTTTTACACCTGCTATGCAGCAAAAAAAAAATTATTACAGGTCAATTTAAACAATGATGAAGACAGTATCTTGATAAATATAAATTACTCTTTATAATAACATTTTTGACTAATAATTAGGCTCATGGTCATATGTTGTCTGCAGGGTTCACCTCTGTCCTATATCTGAGTGTAACAGCTTTATAGGAAACCAATGGTGATCTAATGTTGCTTATAGTGTGTAATATGTTACGTTCTGTAGAATGAAGTTTTAAAAAAATTACCTGTGAAATTAAACTTAAAAAGCAAAAAAATAAAAAAGTTAAAAAGTTCATGTAAAAAGTCTATGAGCTACGTTTAACAGTAAAAAGAAAAATTTATTTATAATTAATAAGTTAATGTAGCATTAATGTTCAAAGGGTTATGTTGTAAATTCATTTTTTTTCTTTAATATTTTTCTATTTTTTAAAGTTTTCACAATTATTTTCTTGAAGCACTCTCTCTGTATATATATATATATATATTAGGTCTGTCAAACTATTAAAAATAATTTAATCGCGATTAATCGCATAATATCAACAGTTAACTCAAGATTAATCGCAAATTAATCGCATATTTTATCCTTTTATTTTATTTATTTTATTTGGGCATTTTAAAAAATGCAAATGTGCAATAATGTAAAAAAAACTTGCTTATACAATAAGTTTTTTTTAATTATTATTTTTTTAAAGCACTTTTAAAAAACTAGAATAAAAATATCCTGGTTTAAATTCCAGGTAATAATTATTCAAAAACTGTAAAAAATT